ACGTCCGCCGCTAAACATTGACCGTACTTGTGTTGTCACTAGCAGTAAATTAACGTAATTATACTGTCAATGATAGTTAATTAACGTAATTGTACTGCCGTTGACAATACATTTATGTAATTGTGCTGTCGTTGACAGTAAATTAATGTAATATTATTATTGTTTTTATTTTTTGTTATTTTTTTTATATAGTTTGATTTGTTGACAAGACAACGTAATTATATTACTGTTGTTGACAGTAAAATAACTGTAAACACAATAATATTACTGTCAACAACATCAATATTATTATTTTTTTGGGTTTTTTGTTTTGTTTGAGTTATTCACGGAGTAACGTAATAGTATTACTGTCTATTATTGTAATATTACTATAAACACAATAATATTACTGTAGTTAACGATAATATTACTGTTGTTATAGTAATAATATTGCTGTCAACCACATCAATATTATTATTTTGTTTGGATTTTTTTGTTTGTTTGAGTTATTCACGGAGTAACGTAATAATATTACTGTCTATTATTGTAATATTACTGTGGTTGACAGTAATATTATTGTTGTTATTTTAATATTACTGTCACTCACAGTAATATTAATTCTTTTGGCTTTTTATTATGTTTACATTTGTTGAACGGTCAACATAATAATATTACTCTATTACAAAATAATAATGAGTTTTATTGTGTTAATATTACTGTGCTAGAGATTAATATAGCAATATTACTGTGTTAAACTGTAGTTTAGTTAATTTTACTGTGTTTAACAGTAATATAGTTAATATTACTGTCAATCACAGCAATATTGTTGTTTAAACGAAAAAAACATGTTATAGAAAGAAAAAATAAAAAATAAAAAAAATTGAAATCTGCCGGTCAACGCCGGAAACCGGCGAAAAAATCCGGAAGAAAAGAAAAAAAAATTTTGAAAAGTCAATGCGGAATCCGGCGGGAAAAAAAAATATTTTGAAATTTTATATTTTTGAAAAATAAAAGTTTTGGGTCAAAATTGAATACTTTGTGAAATTTGGGGTCAAATTGAAGTTAAATTAAGTTAATGATAAAATTGGAGCATATTAAAGTATGAGGGGCTATTTTAGTCTTTTACAAAAATCTGGACCATGTGTAGACTTATTGGTAAAGGAGTTTTTTGTCTGTATCTCTTTATGAATAAGTACCTATTGACGGGCTTATTTGTAATGACCCCTTTTATATTATTCAAAAAAGAGTGTCCCTTATTTTAATTACTTGTCTTCTACGTATCTTAGGTATTCTAGACCTAATGGACTTTGTGCTTTTGTTTCACAGGAAACTAACGAAGGAGCAGTATATATTGTAGAGTAGCACGACGTTTATGCTCTTGTCTTCTTCGAGAGGAAAATTCACACATGATATATTCTTTGCTCTCATTTTTATTGCCCCATCGTGATACGTGATTTTCGTAGAAAATATATCAGCTTCAAGGCTTTGTGGTGAAGACACCAAGATTCAATGATTATCACAAGTTTGCTTCTTATAACAAAAAGAAGATCGGTTCTTCAGGAGAGGATCTTAAACAGATCTTGGGAGGAGATCGATCCGCCGAATAAAGGGATTCTGCTTTGAAGGGAGTTCAATCGAACGGATAGGAGGCTGACATAATCGGAGTCACTAGTTTTGAGTATTGCGCAAGAACGGCGTCAAGATAAAAAAGGTAGTCTTTAATTTATCTTACAAAACTAAAATAGTGAAAATTCGTTGTTGCAGATCATCTTGGATGTAGGGTACAGTTGTATCCAAACCACATTAAATTTGTGTCTCGTTTATTTTTATTTTTACAAACTGTTTTACGAACTGTTACAATACTTTACGCAACAGTAACGAAAACTGAATGTAACACAAATTATCAATATTTGTACGGAATAAATTCTAACAATTGGAATATGCATCTAATTTTCTTTTCTCATATGGATTCTTAAACCTTCTTGGTTTGGTTTGCTCCTCTGTAGATCAATAATGGTGGTTTCGTTTGATGAACTGTTCGAAAATATTTGGGAAATTTTGAATAAAGGGTAAATTTTGGGCCACTGTAGGGGTTGCGGTGTATTGAATTTTATTTTAATTTAATTATAATTTGTGACTAAAAATAGAAAAAAAAAAAAAAAGAAGAGAAAACCCGAACCCTACCTGAAATAGCCGGATACCTTTCGGCTCGGGTTCGGGTAATTATTTTCGGGCAAAATACCCGAATAACGTGATCGGAATAATCCGGTCCAATCCGAATGCCCACCCCTCTGCACAAATAAGATAAATAGGATAATAAAACATAGAATAAATAAAGAAAATGAAGTATCAAATTGTGGATTTGTAAGAGATTGGGGACCCCTCACCAAGTACGCCCCCCAACACAACAATAGTTAATAATCTTACATCTTTGAATATTTATCATGATATATATATATATATATATATATATATATATAAAAAAGGAGCCTTCACATTCAAAAGGTCCATAAGCCCAACTAGGGTATATATTATTTTAGGGGCAATTTGCTATAGGTCTCTCTATATTAGATTTTATGTGAATAAATCTACGTGTTTTTTTTTTATTATTAAAATAATTGTTAATATTGTGTCAAAAGTACCCCTAATAAATATATATATATATATATATATATATATGATATTTTAGAATATGAGAGAAATAAATCCCACATATCATTCTCTCTTGGATATCTTCTCCCATATCTCTCCTCTCTCTCTCTCTCTCTCTCTCTCTCTCTCTCTCTCTCTCTCTCTCTCTCTCTCTACATAATATTATTTTTTTAATATTATTTATTGTTGTAAATTGCAGTTTGTTTATTATTTATTTTGTATTTTTCACTTTGTTGATGCATTTTGTAACTTGTTGTTGTAAATTGTATTTTGCATTTTGTTGTTGTATGCAATTTGCATTTTGCTGTTATAACTTAGAAAAAAAAGAAAAAAATAGTGGATAAAACAATTGAATATTTTAAAAAAAAAAGCAAATAAATGTGTGTCATGAAATCATACCAACAAACATTATTTTTTTCAATATTATTTTATTATTGAAAATTGGATGTTGTTTATCATTTCTTTTGTATTTTTCACTTTGCTAGAGTTTATAACTTGTTGTAATTTGTATTTTGTATTTTGCATTTTGTTGTTGTATGTAATTTGCATTTTACAGTTATAACTTGAGAAAAAGTAAAAATTAGTGGATAAAATAATTGGATATTTTAAAATATTATCAAAAAAAAAAAAAGTAAATAATGTCTTTGATGAAATTCTACCAACAAATATAACCAGAAAATACTATATTACAATAATTTTGTAACGTTAAATATGTGGTTTGGTTTGATGAACTGTTGGAAAATATTGCGAAATTTTGAATATGATAAGGGTAAGTTTTCGGTCACTGTAGATGTAGGTGTGTTGAATATTTTTATGTAATTATAATTTGTGATTAGAAACAAAAATAATAAAATGCGATGGGCTATTTTAGTCTTGCACACAACTTTGAACAATATGTGAATTTTTTTGTAAAATATTTTTTTGTCTGGACTCCTTTATAAATAAGCATTCCTTCATGAGTTTATTTACTTTGTGCCCATAATTTGTTTACAACAAACAAATATTTACCAACTATTAAACATCATAAGAGCAACTCCAATGGGTTATCAAACATGGTATTCAAACCATTAACCATCATTTATTACACACTAAATTTTTAACTCCAACGGGGTTATCAAATGAGAGTTCTATTTTGATAATTCATCTCTTGGCTCATACTTGCTGGAAATCGAGTTATCAAAAATGTAACTATCTAAGTATCCAATCACAAGTTGATACGTGACAATTACAAATAAACTCACTTATAAACTTTCAATTGATAATTAGTTTAATAACCATATGGTTGGAATAGATGAATTTTAATCAATATTAAAATATTATATTAAATATCAAATAAATATTTGATAATTCAATTTTGATATTTAGCATTGGAGTTGCTCTAGGAGAAACATAACGATAAAAGAGTTGGCACATGATAATCGGCAAAATGCTTGAGATCGTTAGTACCATAACTTAAACTATTTGTATTAGTACTTCACTAATTACTTATAGTAAGTATTTCTAATTATCATTTCATATTAAAGATTTATAATGTAATATGTACTAGAATATACACTACTTTAATATTACTCAAAATTTTAGGAAACCTCTAATCGATTTTTTCAGAAATTTCAAGGATATATTGCATAGAAACTCTGCAAATTTAAACTAAAATTTGGATTTTGCGTTGTTCTTCGACACTGTCTTAAAGCCAGGTTAATCAAAGTCTTCCACGAAAGAGCCTTTGACAAGTATATATAGCTATAGATATGGTGCTCGAATGAGTATAGCTCAACTGGTTCCGGGGTGGTAAGTTGGTGCAAGCTGTCTCGTCGCTCTGTAAACACTTGAAAGGTTTTTCCACATAATTAAATTGGTTACAGAGCGACGAGACATGCATTATATTACAAAAACGAGACTTGATATATGTATATAGGAGAATCCCGAAATCGAGGAAATATGAGATACATTGCTTGCATGCATCACTATATAGAATTTCATGCCTAGGAATTAATATTCCGAATATAATCGAAACAGTTATTGGGTGCTAAACGAAAAACAGCTTATTCAGAATGGTGCTCCGGAGAAAAACCTTCCAATTGAGAATCGCATTCGTGTGCATAGATAGGCCACAGCATAGTATTTTATAAGGATTCTGAGCGTATAACTGAACTTATGGCCATGAAACTTACTGCAAACATGATATAGCTTCATAACAAAGTTCATATTGGTGCCAAAATTATTCATCTTCCATTAAATAATTTCGTCTAGTCGCGTATCTCTTTGTAGAAAAACAAACCAACTGAAAGAAAGGCCGCAGTAATAAATAAGCATATAAAACTATGTTCTATAAGTTAACAAATACGATACCAGAATTAGGACTCAAAGACTCACAAACTTTCCCTCCATTTCAATGCAAAGCGAGTAGAAATACGTTTCCCAACCTCATAGTCCGGCAAATCTGACAAACTTGTCGGATCCCATTCCCTCCGATTCTTGTCGTAAATCTCCAAGCTTACTTCCTCCAAATCCGGCAACCACAATTGTCTTAATTGATCTTGATAATTCCCATTTTCTCCCTGCATTAGATTCTTCAAGACGGACTCGGCGTTCATGTAGTTGATTGCACCGATTTTTCTCGGACGACAAATGCAAAACAACCCATTCAAAAGAGGTGAAAAATAAGATAAATCGCCTTGCAGTTTTAAATCCTCCAGCGGAACTGCAGGTTTATTTCCACCTTTAATATCTTGTACAAGATCAAGGTTTTCTTGAAATATGTCCTCATCATTCATGCGAAACTGATGAATAGTGACGGAAATTTCAGATTGCCTTAGCGAATCGAGCAGTTTATGAAGCTTGAGTAACCAAAAAGAAGGATCACTCCTCATAAGCAGGTATAAACACGAACTCCACTCTGTCGAAGTTGTTGCGAACGAGATGGATGGGATAAGCAATCCATGATACCCAAAAGTGCTTATGTTTGGGGCATCAATATGTAGGTGGGATTCTTCTAAGGACTCTTCGAGTCCGTTGCAATACAAAATAGCCACATTTTCTAGACTTGGGAATTTACACGAAGAAAAGTGGTCCAACGACGACAGTGTGACATGATCTAGAAATAAACTAGTGAGATTAAGAAAGTTGGATCCTTGGTGAAGCAAAATATTACCGGACTCGATCTGAATGGTTTCAATAGATGTTGGATAGATTTCGATGCTACAATCTTCTTCGTCCGACCATGATGAAAAATAAAAGTCCTTGAGACGACGAAGATTACTCGCCTTGATGCTTCTTATCGTGTTGCATGATTTGAGAAACATAGTTTCAATCAAAGGACAACTTGAGATTATCTTCTGAAAAATCCTGTCGTGAATGCATACTTGTTCGAGACGAAGTTTTTTCAGATGCTTAAACAGAACTGTCTTTTCAATAGCCTTTTGGTCCAAGATGAATCTTTCAACGTGCAAATCTCGGAGCGATTCGGTCTCAAAGACTACAGAGGGCAGTTTAACATGTCCGAAATGTGCCGGAACAATAGAAAGACGGAAGTTCTTCACACCCGCACTTGTGATTAATGGGATCCATTTTTCGATAAGCGAAACAGATGTACTATCGAACGATGTACAAGAAAGGCTACACTCATCCAAGGACAACCTTTGTTCACAGTATCGCCGTAAAGTGTTTTCGAGAACAGATATAAATTCACCATTGTTTCCTTTGAAGGTTGCGTCTGACAAATCAAGATTGGGGCGCGTACACCAAATTTCACGCCATGATTTGGACAGGACAGATGTTCGAACAGCGTCTTCTTGGGACATGAAATACAGTATTCTCTGCAAGATACATTGTGGCAACTCGGATATCCTATCTATCGATTTGGAGCCGTCTTCTCCTTTCCCCCTTTTCATGCCTCTTCTAATCTGATAAAACCCTATTGATTTATTTATTTTTTCTGCTAAATAAAACAATTGGTTTTATAGGGTAAATAATGGTTGGGTGATTACTACAATTCTACCAAAGGTAGAATCCCTTGTTTTCTTTTCCGCACCTATGTATTTTCCAACTTGCAGGATTCTTATTACTTACGGGAATACATGCACTGCACACGGTAATTAACATATTGTTTTAGGATTTATCGAAAAACGCCTTTTCTTTTTCGCGTATCTCTTGATTTTTTTATTTTTATATGGGAAAGTTAGAGAAAAACCCCAATCTAGAAAATGTAGTTAAGGAAACACTACCTTCCAAAAATAATTAGAAAAAATCTTTTGGCTATATTCCATCCAAGGGATATTTTTATAATTCCAAATTATCCTTAATTGTCTATTATACTTGTTCAAAACCCTAATTTTATTTTCTCTTCTCCCGTCTCTTCTCTGCTTTTATTTTCTCTCTATTGTACTTTTCTCTCTCAAATCTTTAGGTTTTTTTCTCTTGATCGGAAGATGAAGAACAAACCACCGACATCACCGCCAGAACAACGATGTCAATTCCGTTGAAGCCGTCGTCGTCGTTGCCATTTTCGTCACCGTCGGGTCGTCGTCGTTGCAGATCTTAACAAAAGCCATAAAAATGATGATGATTTTGATAGCGATTCTAAGTTTGAATGCCACGATTCCTACAGTGGCGGCTAAAAGAGGTAAAATTGTCGATTTATCGCCGGAATCGGATTTTGATGGATGGTGGTTCTACTTTGATTGGTGGTGCGAGTTGTGATTTTATTTATTTATTCGTAATAAAAAAACAGTCATAATATCAAAGTAAGGTGGTGATGGGGTGTTGTGACGGTGGTGTGGTACGATGGGGAGGCAAAGTAGGGGTTTTTGGTGGATTGGGCGGAGGACGGCGGGTGTAGAGAATTTCGCGCAGGCTGAAACCTTAATCGACTATGTACATGTTCATAGTCGATTAATCTAATCGACTATGCTCTGACAGTCGACTAAGGTTGATCGACTCCAATTTTTTAAATTTTTTTTGATTTTTTGTTTATTGATTCCAATTGTATAAATCATTTATAATGTTTGCATATTTTTTGTTTTTGTAATATATAGTTAATTTTGCATTTTTTCGCAGTTGTGATTTGTTATTTTGAGTAGCAGATTCTTAATCGACTATGCTTCACATCATAGTA